GAAGGACATCATGTTTGGTAAAGTAGAGGGTCAGTGAAAAAGAGGAAGATCCTCAACAAGATGGACTGACACAGTGGCCGCAACCATGGGCTCAAACATATCAACGACTGTGAGGATGGTGAGGACCGGGCAGAGTTTCATTCTGTTGTACATGGAGTCGCTATGAGTCAGAGCCAATTGGACGGCTCCTAACAACAACAACAACACAGATGCCCTTCTGCAGTAGTGGGATTTTCATCTTGTAAAAGGTCTATGCATTCTAACCAATCCCAGGGATTTTCTAAGGTTCTGTGTATATGCTGCTCCTACAGTAAAGATGACACATCTGTAAATGTCACAGGTGTGACTGAGAAATTAGTCAGCTTACCTAAAAAATATAAGTGCATTTTGGAAAAACACAGCTAGTCCTGGATAAACATCCGTATCTGCACACACAAAAAAAGTAAAAACAGATTAGATTATAAAAGGCAAATGACAGTAAAGTATCTGGATCATTCAGAACGACATGCTCTGTATATTACAAAACACTGGTATTATTCACTAATTGTTAAGAAATGTATAATGAACTCAAAGTAAGAAAATCCCAATCTCATTCTTCCAAAGCAATAAAGATGTAGATACCCCAGGAAAAATAAAGGTTGTTGTCCACTGATTTATATTCACTAAAATATACTTTTCAAATGAATTTTTGCATGCTCAAAAAACTGTCCCATTAATTTTTAAATTCTGCACTGGTTTCATGGATAGATACCAAGTAAATTCAGCTATTAATATGGAGTTCAAATTAGTGAGAAAAAAAAAAAATTAGGTTGCTTTCCCTCTGGATAAAAGCAATGAACGTATCAGGCTTTCTGTTTATTTAAAGTAACAGCTACGGTTGCTGCTGCGTCAGAACCACAGGGGAACAAGCAGGGCAGGCACGCTGCCTGTCCCTTTGCTTCCAACAGCCAGTACGCAAACACAGACATTAGAAAGACAGATTCGATTCTTGATTACTGCACACTCTGTTAGCTTATTTCCTTTCATTAATTCAGGAGTTTTGAGAATCTGACAGATACAAGAAGGATGGTTAAAATTCATCACATGCTTGTCACTGAATCCATCCTGGCAGGAGTGGCCAGTATCTTCACAGGAAAAGAAAAACTGGAAACTAACTTTTTGTGGATAAT